CGGTGGAATTGGATAGGACACACACTACGAAATGCACCTAACTGCGTCATGAGACAAGCCCTTACATGGAACCCTCAAGTCAAAAGGAAAAGAGGAAGGCCAAGGAACACATTACGCCGAGAAATAGAGAAAGATATCAGAGGAATGAACAAACATTGGACTGAACTGGAAAGGGAAGCCCAGGACAGAGTTAGTTGGAGAAAACTGGTGGACGGCCTATGCTCGATTGGGGGGGGGGTAACAGGCGTAATTAATAATAATTATTTGGGGTCGTACTGAAATATCTGAATTCGGCGTCCGACAATAGTTGTTTTCCTGGAACTTAAGGCGGCATTTGTCTCAGTGGACCGTGAGGTTCTGTGGCAGTGTCTGTCATTGAAAGATGTTCCAAAGAAGTACATTAACCCTATACAAGCTCTCTACTCGAACACCACTGGTCGAGTGAGAGCATATGGCGAACTGTCGACAAAAATTTTTACTTCAAATGATGTCCGTCAAGGATGTCCACTTTCTTCACTCTTGTTTAATTTTATCGCAGACTTGCTCCTAGAAATAACCTTATCCTCATCTGAATTTTCAGGAGTAGACCTTCTACCAGGTGGCTCGCTTATTGACTTAGAATATGCCGATGACATTGTCCTACTTGGTGAAGACGCTGACAAAATTCAGAGTCTTCTGACTACCCTAAGCAACAATGAAAACATGTTCGGGATGCGGTTCTCACCCTCAAAATGCAAAATGTTGCTTCAAGACTGGGTTGCATCGGCACCTGAACTAGTGATAGGGAGTGAAGTAGTTGAGCGTGTTGACCGCTTCACTTATCTGGGGAGTCTCATCAGTGCTGAATGCCTGGTGACTGACGAAATCTCAGCACGAATAGAGAAGGCTCGATCGGCTTTTGCCGAATTTACGTCATTTATGGGGTAGGCGTGATATCCGTTCTCTAACCAAAAGACGAGTGTACTGCGCAGTAGTTTGCTCCGTTCTCCTATATGGCTGTGAAACATGGTCACTGAGAGAAGACGTTCGTAGGTTACTGGTTTTCTATCATAGGTGTCTTCGAAGCATTGCTCGTATATCGTGGGACAACCGAGTGAGCAACACTGTTATTAGGAATTGGGTGCTATGTAAGAATGGCAGATCAATAGACGCAGTAGTGACACTTCATCAGTTGAGGTGGTTGGGACATGTGTTCCATATGCCCAACCACCGACTGCCTCGAAGAGCTTTGTTTTGCAGTGCAGGAATTGGTTGGAAGAAAGTTAGGGCCAGCCAAATCAAAACATGGCAGAAATCCATGAAGTCATGGACGAGTGGACTTAGCCATGTCGGTAGTTGTCGACTACCTGGTTGGGGTCCGCGAGATGATAATCATCGATGGTTAGAGACATTGAATGACATGGCTCAAAAAGGTATGCAGTGGCGCCGCTGCATTTATTCCTTGTGTTGTCTCAAATCCTAATCTTCTGGATTCTTCAACACCTCTAGTTTTGACTTTCTAAACTTTTCACATTGAATCATACTTCTTGAGTAATATCTTCTAATCCTAACCTCTCGGATTACTTCTAATACCTTTACTATCCCTTATACTATTGGATTTGAATTGAAAATTATATCTCTGTGCTGATAATGTATGGCAACATGAACTGATGTACTTACGTACAAAGTTCTACGTTACATCTGACTGACTGATTATCAACGTTAACAAATCATGAAATGACCTTGATTTGGAAAGCAACTGAAAACCAAGAACCTGTTAGTGACTAATTTTAAGGGATGATTTGTGGTATTCTAGTGAAAAGTCATAAATCGTGCGGTTCAACCATGTCAGAAACAAGGTAGTTAACCACTAATGACGATGGATGATGGTCTTCTCATGCTGTGAAATGACTGAAATTAGCAACGCAAATCACTATATGCCATCTCAGTTGGTGTAAGTGTTTGTCACGAGTCATAAAGTTCTGAGATTCAATACCTATTGGAGTTGTAAGGACCCACCACCAAAAGGTCCCACAGGTGGACAAAATAGATCCCCAATGATTCCCGGTATCCTATTATCGGCAACCCCCTTACTCATGATAAATGGCTGATAGAACTTTCCAGATGACTGAGGTGATTTGACAGGCCGTGTACTACATCACAAAACCAATCCATATATCCAAACCGAAATAAAACCAATACACCAGTCGTTCTATGACTGATTAGAATATTGAGAAATTTAAAAAATACCGATATCATTTACACTGGAAATAACAGTGAACATTGTTACTATCCATTGTGACAAGCACCTGAGTATCAGGCTCCAAAATGAGACTTTCATCTTTAATTCACTCACCAATTTCTGGTGATTTTTTGATTTTAAAAGAAGCCTAAAATGTGAAAAATTGTTAAATGCCTTACTAAAATTTATGTAGGTTAAAATAATTGGTTTCTTATTATCTAAAGACTGTTTTCAACTTTTTCTCTGTTGACAAAGAAAATCGTTTGTAAAACTGTAGAGTTCACTGGCTACTGAATTTCTTCATGTCACCTAGATCTTATTTTGTGGACCGAACTATACTGTATCTTCAGTCTAATGGTAAGGTACATTAGTTGCGTTGTAGTGAAGGAGAACACAGGTGAAGGCAACCGAACCGAATTGTATTTATCGCAAATTACAGAGTTACTCAGTAAAATAGGAAAACCATATCGTTAACGGTTAATTTGCAAATCTTCAATCCATCATCAATCCATTGTCTGACATTTCACTTATTCATGCGTTTCATACAAATTCCATTTTGTTCCCATTCTTCTTCCTCTCTTGATCTTCCCTCATCTTCTGCTGCCAGACATTACGTTGACACTCACGTCATATACTACTTATAAGTAGCGCGCACCACAGAGTGAGATTCTGAAGACCATTACTATTTATTGTAAATCCTAAGCCATTTAACTTCGAAATAAAAGTACCCCTTACAAAATTATTCGTCAGCGAAAAAGCTAGATATGAATTTTTGAAATTTTTAAATAATATGATAACTTAAAATCCGAATAGTTTAGTGAAGAAACAACTAACTCTGAACCATGGAAATCCAAGGAATTATAGAGAATTTTTCGAACCATGCCACTGTGGTGCGAGCTACTTATAAGTAGTATATGACGTGAGCGTCAACGTAATGTCTGGTAGCAGAAGATGGGGGAAGATCAAGAAAGGAAGAGTGGGGGGAACACAATGGAATTTGTATGAAACGCATGAATAGTGACAATGGATTGATGTTTTGCAACAGGAACAGTCCAGTTCGATAATATGATGAACTGATATTTTGCAAATGAACGATTTACGATATGGTTTTCCGATTTTACTGAGTAACTCTGTAATTTTCATTAAATACAATTCGGTTGCCCTCACCGGTGTTCTCGTTCACTACACCACAAATCAACCTACAACTGAAAGGTGTCTCGATGCAAACCAACAATCAATCACGTGACAGGCGGTCAGTCAAACAGAAAAACAAACATAAAGTCATCAGAATAAGTTGATTCATAAGCGCTTATAGCGTAAGAAGTGAACACGAGCATTTTTCGCATGAAGTAAGAACTGAAGATGTTATCATCCACCAGACAAAACGAAATTCAGCCGCCAAGCTTTAGAGAGTCAGTCAGATGCAACGTAGAACTTTGTACGTAAGTACATCAGTTCATGTTGCCAGACCACATTAGCACAGAGATGTAATTGTCAATTTAAATCTAATAGTAGAAGAGGTAGTAAAGGTATTAGAAGTAGTCGGAGAGGTTAGGATTAGAAGATATTATTATTCAAGAAGTATAATTCAGTGAGATAAGTTTAGAAAGACAAAACTAGAGGTGTTGAAGAATCCAGAAGATTAGGATTTGAGAGAACACAAAGAATAAATGCACAGGCGCCATTGCAAACGATTTTGAGCCATGTCATTCAAGGTCTCTAACCATCAATGACTTTCGTCTCGTTGACCCCAACCAGGTAGTCGACAATTACCGACATGGCTAAGTCCACTCGTCAATGACTTCATAGATTTGTAACATGTTTTGATTTGGCCGCCCCTAACGTTCTTCGAACCTACTCCTACACTGCTAAAACTGGACCACCATCCTTAAATATCTCAGGGGTCAGTCTATCAGAACCTGCAGCTCGCCCTCACTTCAAATTTCCTAACGCTTTCTCAACTTCATTAGGACTAGAGGGACTTACGTCGATTTGCCATTCAGGATGACTGGAGATCGTGGGTAACCGGAGAGTGGCTCGAGGCCAGTTGAACTGATCCCTAAAGTGTTCTGCCCATCGATCCAGTCTCCTGGATTGAGAATGAACAATAATCCCATCCTTTTCCGAGATAGTCTCACTCACATTCGGGTTCTTAATACCAGTTTCCTTGATAAGTCGGAAAAGTTGTCTACTGTTGCCTATCGCCGCTGCCTTTTCCATCTCCCATGCTTTCGCCACTCACCACTGTTCGCGATCGTTGCGCAGGCTTTTTATCAGCCTGCGCCTAAGCTGACTTCGTTCTTCATCATGTTCAGCCAGCCAGGTGGGATGAGTTTTCGGGTATCCATCAGATCGGTGGATGCTACTGAGATCCACGGCTTCATTCTAACCTTAATGGTCAACCTTACTAGCAGATATCCACAGCCTTCTTGATATCATTCCAACCTGACTCCGGATGGGAATCGCTTAAATGGTCGCCTAACTGTCTTTCTAGCTGTTCCTGAAATATATTCATTCTTCGCTCTATTATCATTAAGCTTTAAAGAATAACAATGCCACACAAAACAAAATTCATATAATTATAACGTACAATAGAAATACACAATGTTAGTACAATAAAAAAATCGATACATACAACAGTGAGCGGGGGGGGGGTGGTGGCAGAAAAAAAAAACTGGTATCATTTCACTTTTCCTAAAAGAAATGAGCACCTAAAAATGATAATTACAATGATACTATTAAAATGTGTAATTTTGATTAATCATTTCTTGAAATTAATTTAAGATCCTGATGAATCGAGCATGTTTGCATTGTTGTTGTTACTATTGTTGGTGGAAGTAGTTTCAGCGGAATTTCCAATGATCACTTGTTTTGATTGATGTCCAGAGAGTAAGTATAGTAAACATTGTTCAAGTGATCCAACACATGAATCGAAACAAGGTCTAGAATATAAAATAACAAAGATATTATTATTGTTATTATTACTATTACTAAAATGTAAGTGTTTTTGTCAAGTCAGACAGACAGTCAGATACAACACAGAACTTCGTACATAAGTACATCAGTTCAGGTTGTCATATCACATCAGCACAGAGACGCAATTGTCAGTTCAAATCCAAGAGTGATAGCGACAGTAGAATTATTAACAGCAATGGAGAAGATTAGAGAGCGAAGATATTATTCAAGAAGTATAATTCAGTGAGATAAATTTAGAAAGAGAAAGATAGAGATTATGGGGAATTCAAAAGGTTAGAATTAAAAAGCACACAAAGAGTGGATGCATCTGCGCCATTCTGAGCCGTGTCGTTCAAGGTCTCTAACCATCGATGACTTTCGTCTCGCGGACGCCAACTCAGTCTCTTTGTCAGTAACTTCATGGATTTCAGCCATGTTTTGGTCTGGCCGCTTCTAGCTTTTTTCTAACATACTCCTACACCACAAAACATAGCTCGTCGTGGCAGTCGTTGGTTAGGCATTTTTGTCAAGTTGGATCAGTAACAACGTAGAACTTCGTACATACGTACATCAGTTTAAGTAGCCATACCATGATAGCACGGAGAGATGCAATTTTGCAATTCAAATTCCATAGTGGCAGAGATAGTAAAAGTATAAACATTATTTGGAAAGATTAGGGTTCGAATATATCACTTAATAAGTATAATCCAGTGAAACAAGTTACGAAGAGAAAGACAGGTGGTGATGAGGAATTCGGAAGATTAGAACTTGAGAGAAGGCAAACAATGGATCTACCTGCGCCACTTAGTTATGTCATTCAAAGTCTCAAACATGTGAAGTTGGATTATGAAATATGTACACATCCTAGATGGATTGCCTTGATATTACCATTGAGTCAAAAATATTTATTAAAATTGGATAAGGGCTAGCAGTGAAGATTTTTATTTCGTCATATTTGGGACTCTTCAGCTAGGTTTCCCTACATCCCAGAGTTGTTCTTCACAGTGAAACTCAAACCCAGTCACTGTTAGGATATTCATCCAATATCCTAAGAGAATTGTCGTCCTAACTATCAATGTCACATACTTCAAATGTTGTTTCCTATTGGTTGTCTTAACTGTCAATGTCACAGGCTTCGATGCTGTTTCCTATTCGACATAAATGTATAAATACGCAGTATCTGTAACGTTTTATGACCCGAACCCGGATCCCTAGTTCGGGATTCTGTCTCTCTTCTGGATTTGGATCTCGTACTTTCTGGATGCTTGTAGAATACAGGTTCTACTTCATATCAAGTCTTCTTCTTTTTCTATTCAAAAGGGGTGGGTTTGGGACACTTGGATTAGAGCAGCATGTCATGTCGCCTGATTATCGATCCTCACTCCCGTTTTCGACTAAGGTAAATTCGTAATAGTTCAAGCACATCAAAATGACGTGTTTGCGTGCATGCGTAACAGTAACTAATCGCTTCAGATCTCAACGTGTTATTGTTGACTGAGTTCAGTTAAGCAATATCAACTTGTTCAACACAAAACAGATTCCTTCCAATTTCCCCTTGTTCAATCGTTTGACTGGTGAAGAACTTCATATCATTGAAGAAACCTTCTGTTAGTGATTACATTGTCAGCAGTAAGTACTTGGTTGTTGTCTATAACTATGTGATCATAACTCTGTTTACTTTTAAGTCAACAGAACAAGTAATTGTGACGAAGTTTTGTAATCTGAGCTGGATATTTTGGTTGTGCAGCCTTTATTGTTCTTCTACTGAACAACATCATCAACACAAACTACAGATAAAAGTTATTCATATAAATGATGGAGAAATTGTAACTGCTCAATTCTCTTTGAACAAAAAAAATACTTGGACTGTTAATGGTTAATAAGAAGCTGACTGTTTCAACATTTTTTTTAACACAACTTGAAGAGCAATACGAATTACTATAACAACTGTGAGACAATTACTCAACAACATCATAAAATGATAGTTGAGCTATATTGTAAAGTTGACTGACAGTTATATTGGCTTTCAGTTGAAAGTAAATAGAATAAGTACTAAAGTGTTTCTTAAATAAAAAAAGGAAACTTGATATCATGAATCAGTCCTTGTTAGATCACTATTAGAAACCTGGAAGCACTGAATGGTCGTTTCGTCCTAGTAAGTGACTCTTCAAGAATGCTCATCCACGATCTCCACTCGCAGGAGTCGAGCCCAGGACCTTCAGTATCGTACGTGAACGCTTAGATTGAAATTAGAAATTAACACCGTTAGATGCCGGTTCGGTGGTCTACAAGTTAGGCGTTTATGCACGAGACCACAGATCCTGGGTTCGATTCCTGTTAGTAGAGATTGGGGATGCGCATTGCTGAAGAGTCTCATACTAGAACGAAACAGCTATCCAGTGCGTCCGGATTTCTAACGATGGCCTAACATTTATGCATTCTGTTAGGATATTCATCCAATATCCTAACAGAATGGTCAATTCCTATTGGTTTGTAGTGCCTCCACATATATTCCAGTACTCTTACATCTAACTTGGTTAAGCCCTTTCGATTAATTTATTTAACCAAGCCATTTGTATAGCAACAACTCATATGTACCATTGGTATTTTTTATTATCTGCTTTGTATGAGCTTATACGACTGAGCATTGTTTACGCTTACGCACTTACTCATCCTTTTCGCTTTAATGTTAATCTCGTAATATTCCCATGAACTCACATGATTTGTATCGCTTGCTTTTGACCTTGTCAATCATTCGTCGCTTTTATTCATGTGTGTGCATACCTATTTCGCTTGTCATATGTCTGTCTTATTCTTATCTGACTATATATTCTTAGTCATACTCTATCTCTTGGAGTTGGCTCACTAGCCTTCTCCAATTCGATTTGTGGTGTGCCTCAAATAAACGTATACGATACTTGGAGTTCATCTTCTGATTTATTAACCGTCAGACGTCATTTGGATAAGACAATCTGAACGAGCTTATTACGAAACGTACGAACACGCAGTTATCGGCACACTACAGGTTCATTCCTAGTGGACAATTTTATTGTCGTCCTAGATATCAATGTCACGTGCTCCAATGTTGTTTCTTATTGGTTGTCCTGACTATCAATGTCACTTCAAATGTTACTTCCTATTGGTCGTCTTAACTGTCAATGTCACAGACTTCGATGCTGTTTCCTATTCGACCAAAATGTATAAATACGCATTATCTGTGACATTTTATGACCAGGACACGGTCCCAGATCCCTAGTCCGGGATCCTGTCTCTCTTCTGGATTCGGATCTCGTACTTTTTGAATACTTGTAGAATACAGGTTCTACTTCACGTTCAAGTCTTATTTTTTACTCAATATGGGGGCTGGGATGATCGGATTTGAGTAGCATGTCGTGTCGCCGGATCCTCGATCCTCGCTCTCGCGTTTCCAACTAGGTATAAACGCGTCACAGTTCAAGTATATCAAGTTGACGTGTTTACTTACGTGCAGGCGTAACACATTCCTAATGCCACTGGGAAACAACAACTCTATCAATTTATAAGAAATGAAACTCGAACTATTTGAATGAATGAAATCATAAAACACTTAATCAATCAATCAATAAACTTACCTATTCCTAGAATCTAATGAAATACATTGACTAGTCATATTTAATAATATTGTAGGTGTATTAATAGGAAAATGATCCAGCTTCATTAATTCATTCATTTCAATGCATAAAGTTTTTGCATTACGTATTAAACAGTCAGGATCAGCATCAGTACGTAGTATTAATTGACACATAATTGTACCGAATGAATAAACATCCACTGCATTATCATATGGTTGACCAGCTAACATTTCTGGTGCCATCCAATAAGGACTACCAACCTTTGTTTTTTTTAATAAAGAGGGAAAAATGAAAATACAAATACAATTATATGCATTACGGGGGGTTGTGAAGATTGTTAAGTTACACATATTTTTTGAAACCATGAATCGATCAATCACTGTTAGACCACCATTAGAAATCTGGAAGCACTGGACGGTCGTTTCGTCCTGGTATGGGACTCATCAGTGGCAGTGCGCATCCACGACTCCTGAACCCCGCAGGACTCGAACCCAGGACCTTAGTGTATTGTAGGTGAACGCCTAACCATTGGACCACTGAGCCTGTGCCTAACGGTGTGAATGTCTAACTTGATCAATTCACGGAGTTGCGTAGTTACTGTCTACACCTGAACAGGTTGAACTTCACAGTGGTCACGTCTTCCCACTAGAATTCGGAGAAGATTCCTCACGAAGCTAGTCACTAGTGAGCATAGGTAATTTGCATTACGGGGTGGTTGTGAAGATTGTTAAGTTACACATTTTTTGAAACCATGAATCGATCAATGCTAGACCACCATTAGAAACTTGGTGGTCTAGCACTGATCGATTCATGGTTTCAAAAAATGTGTAAATTAATTATATGTGTAGAAGGAGATTTATAGTGAGTGAGTGAGTGAGTGAGTGAGTGAGTCTAGTTAATAATTAGTTTGTGATTTCAACTACTGAAAATAAAACAATCTCTACAAATACCTCCATTTTATTCATGAAAATCAAGTGCTCACTAGTGATTTGCTTTAAGATGAATATTCCTGGAACTCAAGTGAGAATTCATGTGATCAGTGGATTTCAATCTGTATTGGGTAGGATACAGTTAGCTATCCAGTGCAGACAGAGGATGGAAGGTTTAGCGACATTATGAATTGATTGCAGGCAGACATTAAAATTGTTGAATGCAGGCTAGGTGGTTCAGGAATTAAGCATTTGTGCGCCAGACCTGAGCTTCTGGGTTCGAACTGCGCTTGAGAGGTCATGGATACGTACTGCTGATGAGTCGTACGGTGGTTTCATGTTCCTAATTATTGCAATTAGTGATACACTATGTAGAATCTGACACATATACATGTGACAGTTCAAATTCAAACTAATGCCATATTAACACAGGAAGATATAAGTAGTAATAACAGTATCTACAGTAGTAGAAAACAGTAGGTACGGACAACAGCATCTGAAGAAAAGTGAATAGTCGCATGAAATAAATTCATCCACAAAATCTTATTCGGCTTCTCATAACCACCGACATACAAATGGGGTTCGTCCAAGTATGATAATATACGGAAATTCAAAGGAAGAAATATTTTATTGCATACTTGACCGACCGCCCGTCCACCCAAAATAAAAGGCCACTAAATTCATAAGCCCTACTTCGAATCTAAAGCAGCCATCAAAAGTAAAATAATAATTTTTTTCTATAAATAATCATTGACTAAAACAATTCAAGATCAATGTTGTTTTAATTCAGTGTAGTAGTCGAGCGGGTTGATCACTTCACTTATCTAGGGAGTCTCATCAGTGCTGATAGCCTGGTGACTGACGAAATCTCATATCTGATACAGACAGCTCGATTGGCTTTTGCCAACCTGCGTCACTTATGGCGTAGGCGTGATATCCGTTCGCTAAACAAAGGACGGGTGTACTGCGCAGCAGTTCGCTCTGTTCTCCTATATGTACGTGAAACATGGCCGTTAAGAGTAGAAGATGTTCGTAGGTTACTAGTATTCGATCATAGATGTTTAAGAAGCATTGCTCGTATATCCTGGGACAACCGAGTGATCAACGCTGTTATTAGGAAACGGGTTCTACGTAAGGCTGGCAGATCAATTGATGAAGTATTGGAACTTCATCAGTTGAGGTGGTTGGGACATGTGTTGCGTATGCCCAACCACCGACTGCCTCGTCGAGCTATGCTTTGTGGTGTAGTCGTAGGTTGGAAGAAAGCTAGGTGCGGCCAGACCGAAACATGGCAGAAATCCATGAAGTCACTGACAAGTGGATTGAGTCATGTTGGTAGATGTAGGCTACCTGGTTGGGGTCTGCGAGACGAAAGTCAACAATGGTTAGAGACCTTGAATGACATGGCTCAAAATCGTTCACAATGGCGTAAGTGCATCCATTCGTTGTGCTCTCACAAATCCTAATCTTCTGGATTGTTCAACAACTCTAGTTTTGACTTTCTAACCTTATCTCACTGAATTATACTTCTTGAATAATAATCTTGTAATCCTAACCTCTCCGATTACTTCTAATACCTTTACTACCTCTTCTACTATTGGATTATGAATTGACAATTACATCTCTGTGCTCACGTGGTATGGCAACATGAACTAATGTACATACGTACAAAGTTCTACGTTACAACTGACTGACTAATTCAGTGTGATACTTGTTCAATATCCAATATTTATTTTATTTAAAAATTCCGAGTGATGAAAGTATTCTTAAGCAAAAAAGTATATTCACTATTTTTAGTTATGTATAAATTTATTTTTTTCACTAGAAATCTATATATAAAAATTAGTCGGCTGTTGTTTTTTGTTATGGCGTGGTGTGTTGTTGTTGTCGCTGTAATGATTTCATATCTTCTTCACTTGTCTATCAGATTTTTTATTCTTTTGTGTGTGTTTGTATGGTGCAAAATTTTAATTTTCTTTGATATTATTTTTAGTTATCAATTTTATATAGAGTACAATTAGAAAATAAATTAATTACTACAAGTTATTATAATCATATATAAATAAGTGTTGAGAAGTAAGTAGATTAGTGTAAGTAAATTACTAACTACTACACTACAGATGACATTATTAATACAATGTATATACGAGAAAGAGAGCGAGGAGAAATTACCAAGACGAAGAGTAGATAAAAGAGAATAATATCTAATAGATGCTTAAGATAACTTGAACTAAGTTTTACATTCTGAATCTAATGATAAACACTTTCACAAAGAGTTTATGTCAGTTAGTCAGCCAGTCAGTTACAACGTAGAACCTCGTACGTAAGTATATCAGTTCAGGTTACCTACCATACAAAATTAGCACACAGAGAGGCAACTGTCAATTCAAATCTCATAGTGGTAACGATAGTTGTGTAGTGAAGGAAGACACAGGTGGGGCAACCGAATTGTATTTAACGAAAATTACAGAGTTACTCAGTAAAATTGGAAAACCATATCGTAAATCGTTAATTTGCAAAATATCGTATCATATCATATTATCGAACTGGACTGTTCCTGTTGCAAAACATCAATCCATTGTCACTATTCATGCGTTTACACTCACGTCATATACTACTTATAAGTAGCTCACACCACAGTTGAAGTGTTACTGGTAATGAAGAAGATTAGGGTTCGAAGATGTTATTCAAGAAGTATAATTCAGTGCGATAAGTTTATAAAGAGAAAGATAAAGGTGATTAGGAATTCAGAAGATTAGAATTTGAGAGAACACAAAGAGTGGATGCACCTGCACCATTGCAAACGATTTTGAACCATATCATTCAGGGTCTCTAACCATCGAATATTATCATCTCGCGGACCACAACTAATTAGTCTACAATCTACTACCCAAAGTAAACTGGTCTGACTAAATACGATAAGAGAAATGTCAGCAAATTAGACTGTGTTTCAGAGAACCACTTTACTTAATGACTACTACAGATTTAAAAATGATATTTTGATGAGAACCCTCATAAGGCCAATCAGAAGTGACCAAAGGATGATGACAGAAATGTCCTAAAAGACGAATGCTTATCATTGGTCAAGATATGGACTCATTTTCTAAGAGGAAGGAATGTACATATATACAAATGAGCATTTATGTATATTATTCGACAACCAAAGAGATTTCCTTTTCCACTTATGACTTCTCACTCAAATAGTCAGTTTGGCTGGGGTGGTTAACACGTTTCACGTCCCGACCTCTTACACTACCCATCGTAAGACTCTACGTTATTAGTATTTAGCTAAATTGAATTGAACTAATAGTCTTATTTCTGTCAGTTGAATGGCGTGAACTTTACTTGAAAGAGGTTTGAAAAGTATTCACAATAGATGCTGATTTATGTCAGTCATAGAATTCTAGCATTAATAGGTCATGTTATTGTCATTCAAAATGAGTTGCTCAACAAGAAATAAGCTATTTTATCGATCAAGCAACTTTCCAAGAAATCGTATGCAATAATTTGATTGTAACAGCAAATATTTTCTTTCAGTAAAAGGTTGTGAAGACTGATGAATTTTATTAAAATTAAGATCTTATCACTTTGAGATCACTATTCGGTACAAGAAGGCACTGGATGGGAGTTTCATCTTGGTATGGGACTTATAAACAATGCGCATGCACGGACGCACCACTAAGAATCGGACGTAAGACCCTTGGTCTCGCGCGCAAATACTTAACCACTCAGCCGATCGGCATCAAACGGTGTTAATGTTTAACTTCAATCAATCCGTCCTAATGCGCAACTATCATCATCTACTATCTTGTTATATTCAAACAAATCAATTTTAGAACTAGACTTCTAGTTGTAATTTAGTCATTTGTCATTTGTTCAAAAACTATGCAATCCAGTGTTATGGGTTTCGTAAAATCCAGACCATAGCTGCTAGCTTGACATGGTGGTCAGGCTCGCCTACCGTGATGACCTGACCGATCTCTGTTGACTGAAATATATATTTATTCAGATTCTATCATGCCAGGCAGGTTGATTGCAAAATTCAAGGTCTAAGGACGAAGTCGTACTACTAAATGTAGAGGGGTGTGACAGCAGTATGATGTTTCCCTCGGACAACCAGCATCTGCAGCGATGCTACCTACTCACAAGGAAGGAAGGGGTTAGAAAAAGTCGATCATAAAAATGTCACACCTCACCTTACCTAACGGGTTTCCTTCTCCGGCAGTAAAACCTTTTAAAAAGAACGGAGCCAACACTCTTAAAACTTCTCATAAAAAGGTCGAGCGTGACCGGCCTCAAGCAGTTGTCCCTTGGACTCTGCGATCACGCTCCCAGGTCTCTAAGACCGACGCCAATCTACCTTCCTTTTCAGGTTCTTCAAGAAAAACCCACGGTATGGGCACCCCGGAAGTGACATCCGCTATCATACCAGTGACAGTACACGAGATCGAATTGGTTACAATCAAATTCTTCCTACACTTGGCTGGACTCAAGAAATTGGACATAATTAGTCAGTTTAACTAGAAATCAGTGATAAGATTTTTAATCTAACCACCTTGTAACCAACCAACCAAGTAACTCTGTTAATTTAGTTTTGAATTAAAAAACAATTTTTGAAAGACAGCTATTACTGCATAAAGTAGATTTAATATTATCAAACTCTAAAATGCCGTATATTGAATTATGACCCATTTATTGGAGGCTAAAGTATATATAAAAGTACTAAAACAAATAGAAATCATGTTCTCCCCTATTCTTTGCATACAATATGTAAGATAACAAGAAGAATACTTTCATACATTTATGGACTACCTAATTATTGAAAAGTTCATTGTGAATTATCAAAACTATACATGACATTGGGTATGAGAACAGCTTCAATTTAAGAACTGACATAACTATTCATTCTGAGTATTTCAAATTTATGGTCTATCCAAAGAGTCATGAGTAATCACAGTATCAGTTGTTTTAACCAGTGATTGGGAAAAAAGGAGACTAAAGTATGAAACAGTCAGTCAATCAGTTACAACGTAGAACTTCGTACGCACGTACGTACATCAGTTCAATTTGTCATGCCACATTAGAACAGAGACGCAATTATCAATTCATATCCCATAGTATTAGAGTTAGTAGAATTATCGGAGAGATTAGGGTTCGAAGTTATCATTCAAGAAGTAGAATCAAGTGAAATGAACTTAAAAAGAAAAAGATTAAGGTGATGAGGAACTCCGAAGGTTAGAATTTGAGTAAACACAAAGAATGAATGCACCTCCGCCATTGCAAACGGTTTTGAGCCATGTCATTCAAAGTCTCTAACCATCAATTACTATCATCTCGTGGACTTCATCCACGTAGCCGACATCTACCAACATGACTCAGTCCACTTGTCAGTGATTTGGTCTGGCCGCCCCTAGCTTTCTCCAAACCTATTTCCATATCGCAAAACATAGCTCGACGAGGCAGTCGGCGGTTTATCATAAGTGACACATGTCCCAACCACCTCAACTGATGAAGTTTCAGTACAATCGATCAGCCATCCTCACCTAGTACTCGATTCTTAACCATAGTGTTGTAACGGTTGCTTAAGATATTTCCCGGCTAAATCTTCTTGACACAAAACACTGACAAGTAACACAAATCAGAACACGGTTGAACAGGAAGGATTGTATTCCAAAATAGCAAGGAAAAGAAGCTGGAGGTGATGGCGAAAGCCAAGGCAAAAAGGCTTGAAAGCGAAGAAGGCTAGAAGGCAAAGATAAATACAATGCGAGTCTATTTATAGCCTTTAGATGAGAAAGCTTCTGGAAGAAAATTCACGTGATCGACTGGACTGGATTCGACCAATCAGCATGCAGCTAATAATACGAGAATTTTCTATCCTGTTCTCCAAGCTTCGATCAGGCGCTGATTGGATAGGAAATTAGCCAATCAGCGCGTAGTGACGTAATCATGCTTTAAATCCATCTATGTCCCACTAACACCTCCCCTTTGAGAAAATTCGTAGGATCTGGTGCTAGAGTCCAACTGCGACCTGGGTGCCTTGCCACCCGTACTCTTACGAGCCGCCTGCTTTGTAGGAACCATATCTTTAGACAACCGTCGATTGGGCTGCTTCCCCACCGATAAGTTTTGTTGAGGCTCATGAACAGCATATGGTATAGGGCGTCTCGGACGTGAAGTAGGTTTGGCATCTGCTTTCGCTGGTAGGTTAGCTTTGAGATTCGTACAGCGGCCAAGGCTATTCTGAGAAACAGAGGCTGACTTCCTCTTTCCTTTATCTTGTAACCTTTCACATAGCATCGCTTACTCGGTTGTCCCAGAATATAGGAGCGATGCTTCAGAGACACCTATGATCGAAAACCATTAACCTACGAATTTTTGCTACGCCTGTTGGCCATGATGTTTTACAGCCATATAGTAGGATGGAGCGCACTACTGAGCAGTACACTCGTCTCTTGGTTAGCAAACGGATATATCGCCTACGCCATAAGTGACGCAAGTTAGCCAAAGTCCAGCGAGCTTTCTGTATCCGCGCTGAGATTACGTAACACACCAGGCCATCAGCATTGATAAAACTCCCCAGATAAGTGAAGCGGTCAATAAGCTCGACTGCTTCACTCCCTATCACTAGTTCAGGTGCCGATGCAAACCAATCGTGAAGCAACAATTTGCATTTTGATGGGTAGAATCTCATCCTTCTGACAATCAGAGCCCTTCCACGCTATGTGGGCAACCGGGAATTAACATCCGCCCTCAAACCCATAAAAACACACACAAGACCAAATCGGTCATAATCAAATTCTATAGTATCAAACACATATATTAAGCCCTATCAAAATAAACATCTAGGTATAATTGAGATGTTTTTATTTATAGTTTAGTGGAATTACTTGAAATCAACAGATAGCCAGAGACCTTTTAAAGACTTTTTAACGCACACACATACACACATCCATTCTACTTACTACAGTATGTCTTCTTGGATGATTATATCCATGATGACGTCTAAGACGATGAGGACTCAGGTGACGTTCAACAGCATCAGTGTTATTTGAAATATCTTGAACGGAATTATTTATTGTTGATTGGTCAGAAATTTTCTCTTCTGTTTTCTGTTTACAAGATGGAATTGATTGAACTAATTTTGACAATCCAAAATCAGCCACCACTACAGAATCATCCTAATAAATAGAAAATAAGAAACTACGAAAGAATGGTATTGTACAAGTTTCTACCCGCCAAAACAAAATTATACTCATTAAAAAACAATTAATTCATAAGACAAATTTAGTGACAGCATTTCAGTCAGTCAGATGCAACGTGGAACTTCGTATGTAAGTACGTACATCAGTTCATGTTGCCATACCACATCAGCACAGAGAAGTAATCGTCAATTCAAATCCAATAGTAGAAGAGGTAGTAAAGGTATTAGAAGTAATCCGAGAGGTTAGGATTAGAAGATATTATTCAAGAAGTATGATTCAATGAGATAAGTTTAGAAAGTCAAAAGTAGAGGGGTTGAAGAATCCAGAAGATTAGGATTTGTGAGAGCACAAAGAATAAATGCTTCGCCGCCATTGCGAACAATTTTAAGCCATGTCATTCAAGGTCTCTAACCATCGATTATTATCATCTCGTGGACCCCAACCAGGTAGTCGACAACTACCGATATGGCTCAGTCCACTCGTCAATGACTTCATGGATTTCTGACATGTTTTGGTTTGGCCGCCCCTAACTTTCTTCCAACCTATTCCTACACTCCTACAGTCGGGAGTGATGGCATTTTATGAACAGTCAGTCACAACATCGAACTCAGTTCGTAACATACACCAATTCAAGTTGCTATATATAGTGATAAAGGCACCAAGTAAGAATAGTAACAATATAAGTTGGTTAATAGAAAATATTTAGGGACCGAATTATAAAATTCGAAATTTAAATCAATGAAGAACAAATAAAAATTATGATGAATTCAGTAAACTTAGAATTTAGGCTAGGGAGAAAGAGTGGATGTAACCTGCAACATTCGAACTTACCTAGATTGGAGTCTGTATACTACTAATTTGGTTAGGCCCTTCAAATTAGCTAATTCAATAATGTCGCTCAGTATATCTATATCTTATTATTACTATTATGCTTGATGAACATGCATACTTGATTTACACGTTACAGCCTACCCACATATTCCGCTTTCTAGCCTTGATGGCAGTTGCCTAAATCATTTGATGACTAGCTTACTATACTATAGACATATGCATTTTATATTCAATTCACTAGTTCTCCTGCATTCGTATATCTGTTCCTACTTTTGGTGGTTTTATAATCGGTACTATAAGATGATAGACTGTAGTCGACGGTTCGTATAGTCTTCTCCCGACCGTAGCTGCTACCTTAACGTGGTGGTCGGGCTTGCCTATCGTGATGATCCAACCGAGCTATACTGGCTGGAACATATGTTCCTGTAGGTTCGACCATGCCAGGCAGGTCGATCGGAGAACGATGAGACTAAAAGCAGCTACTCAAGGTCTGACGGCAAAGTCGTACTGCTGACTGCAGAAGGGTGTGACAGCAGTAAGGTGTTTCCCTCGGACAACCAGCATCTGCAGCGATGCTGCCTTCTCACAAGGAAGGAAGGGTTAGAAAAGGTCGACCCTAAAAATGTCACACCTCACTCTACCTCATGGATTTCCGTCTCCGGCGGTAAGGGTGCCCACTAAGGGCTTTTAAACAATAGCGGAGCTATGGTGGTGCCATGGTGTGGGCAGCCGGGAAGTGACAACCACCCTCATACCCGTAACAGCACACACACACACCCTAACATCTCTCTTATCTCCACGACTATGTCTTCTCACATTCCTTTATCGCCCTGCACTGGTAATGCAAACAATTCAAATTCACGAAACGTTATTTCCAGACTCCTGAAACCCTGTTCTAAACTATCCGTATTGTCTTCTAAAATTTATACGTTGTTTTGAATTCTCTAATAACGATTACCTGGATATGATGTACGAAGTGTAAGAGTTGTTTCAAAGACACTCACTCCATTACGAATAAAAACAACATCAAACAAATGATGATCTGATAAATAAAAACTTAATGCACACTTTAGTGAATAATAAAACGAAAACCAATTTCCGTTAAAAAGTGGTTTATTTTCAGCAAAAAAAATAACAACCCATTAAATAGTTCCAATTTATGTTTATAACTACTATGGGCTTATATTATTATTCCATTGTTTACAACAACTGACTAGACTGACGTAATTCAATTAAGAATGCACAAATGTCGACAAAGATTAATCGATATATTATTATTATTCAGTTGTGAATATATAAACAAAGGGATAATAAACACAGCTTCAATAATAGCATACTTGTTAGGGATGTTAAATCCCCCGAATTTGCTTGATAAATATCTTTATTTTGGATTTATTTCATGGACTGATCAGTTGACCTTGAGATCACATTTCCCACCAGCAAAATCCTTGGCTGTGATTGGTCAGTGTGTCATTTTAGTGTGCTATTTTTGTGACTGTCCCAAGGACGTCTCTATAGAGTATAAATAAACGCTATTTGAGTGCTTGGATACATTGTGTGCTGGTTGGGTGTTTGTAGAATACAATTTCTACACTATATCAAGACCGCTTGCTGATACCTTTCGGTCAATGGATCACAGTAGCCTGCGTGGACGACGGTTTATTGTTTATTCTCGTTATTCGTCTAAGGTGAACTCGTAATAGTTTAAGCATACCTAGAGACGAGCGTAACAATACTTCATATCCATTGAAGAAATATTGATGGCTGAACTGAACTTAGAGTAGCTTTCAATGCATGACTCGTTGAGGCCTTGGAGAGAGAGAAAAGAACTAGGTTCTTGTCCGCAATACGCAGAACATCAGCAATATGATGCAGGTACATCTAACTGACAAGTTGCAAGTAGAAAGAGACGAGTGGTGTTGTTGTAGTTATTCTGGTTTTGTTTAAGTTTAAAAAGGGAACAAACTATATGACACGAGTCCTAGATTCCAAGGGACGAAGATATGATTCGATAAGTATAATTCAGTGAGATAAATTTAGATGGAGAAAGAGAGAGATTATGAATGTAAATATTTTTGGAGTATATTATTTCAGTGACTTACATTTCTCGTTTTGGGAGAGATTATTAGGATTTACTGTGCTCTTTTGACTGCGTCACAGCCGTAAGCTTAAATGGTACACAGCAGTTCCAAAATGCCTCAATCACATATAATAATTCTTGAAAAACAACCATTTAACGATAAAAAAACTTTAAAAATGGGAGAAATTTTAACAAAAACAATCCACTAAATGAGTTAAACATTAAAATTAAGTTATGATGTATAGATACCATAAAAATATAAGAAAGCTAAGATTTAAGCTGATATAAAACACCATTGAAATCATAAATCAATCAAAGCTAGATAGTCATTGAAAACTTGGAAGCACTGGACAGTCATTCTGTCTTCCAGTATGAGACTCATCAACAGTACGCATTCACGATCCCACAAGCGAGACTGAAGGTGTCGAGTTCTATTCCAGCGTGCGGAGTTGTGGGTAGGCACTGCGGAGAAGTTTCAGACTAGCTTCGTGAGGAATCTTCTCCGAGTTCTAGTGGGAGGACGTGACCACTGTGAAGTTGAAACTGTTCAGGTGTAGGCAGTGTCTACCGAAGACTGTGTATGAGGTTGCGCAACTCCGTGAATTTGATCAAGTTAGACATTAACACCGTTACATACCGGCTCAGTGGTCTAACGGTTAGGGCGTTCGCGCACAATACCGAAGGTCCTGGGTTCGGATCCTGCCGGGTGCATGAGTCGTGGATGTGCACTGCTGAGGAGTCCCATACCAGGACGAAACGGCCGTCCAGTGCTTCCAGGTTTCTAATGGTGGTCTAACATTAATCGATTCATGGTTTCAATGCAAATTTGAGTCATAATCACAATGAAATGAAACAGAGATTACGTCACTACTGCAGATAATAGACAAAAGTACAAGTGGATAGTAGGAAGACAGAGGTGTACTGATAGAGTAGTAAGAAAATTATAAAATATGGTAACTAAAGTTTTATCAAAGGTGGATGGATGAATAGACTTCAAATAATCATTAAAAAAACATCAAGACCATTACGTAATAAGCAAATGTGTAAAAATTAAAAAAATACAATGAATGATTATAAAACTAATAGTCCGAATAGCTTACTTGTCGTACAAAACAATTACGAGTAGTTAAATCTCGATGTATCACATCGTGTTTATGTAAATAGGCCTACAAAAAAAAATAAATAATAATAACAGATAAATCAATCCATTAAAACACAAATTTTTTTTATTTATTCAAAAACGAATACAATGTGAGATGATGGAGGAGAAAATCGGTAGCTCAAGTGGATGATTGTTGTGCTGGTGGTGGTGGTGGTGATTGGTTCTCTGTGAGCTGGTTGTTTTGTGGTTGTGTGAAGCTTTCATTCATTGTTCTTCTTCTACTGAACAACATCATCATCAGTAGCTGCACAAACTTCAGATAGATAGAAGTGAAGTATTCAAATGTGGAGAAATTCGAATACTTCACTTCTATCTATATGAAGTTTGTCAAACTCGAGAAAACCAGTCTGGTTTTCGACCTGGACGTGGTTGTATAGATCACGTCTTCACACTACGACAGGTCCTGGAACATAGACACACATTTGGGCGTACTACAATAGTTAGACGTGCTCCTAGAAATAACCTTATCCTCGTCTGAATTTTCTGGAGTAGACCTTTTACCAGGTAACTCGCTTATTGACTTAGAATAAGCCGATGACATTGTCCTACTTGGTGAAGACGCTGAAAAAATGCAGAGTCTTCTGACCACCCTAAGCAACAATGCAAGCATGTTCGGTATGCAGTTTTCCCCCTCGAAATGCAAAATGTTGCTTCAAGATTGGGTCACATCGGCACCTGAACTAGTGATAGGGAGTGAAGTAGTCGAACATATAGACCGCTTCACTTATCTTGGGAGTCTCATCAGTGCCGATGGCCTGGTGACTGACGAAATCTCAGCTCGGATACAGAAGGCTCGATTGGCTTTTGCCAACCTGCGTCACTTATGGCGTAGGCGAGATGTCCGCTTGCTGACTAAACGACGAGTGTACTGTGCAGTAGTTCGCTCCGTCTTACTTTATGACTGTGAAACATGGCTAATGAGAGTAGAAGATATTCGTAGGTTACTGGTTTTCGATCATAGGTGTCTTCGAAGCATTGCTCGTATATCCTGGGACAACCAAGTAAGCAATGCTGTTGTTAGGAAACGGGTACTAGGCAAGAATGGCAGATCAATAGATGAAGTGCTGAAACTTCATCAGTTGAGGTGGTTGGGACATGTGTTGCGTATGCCTAACCACCGACTGCCTCGAAGAGCTTTGTTTTGTAGTGTAGAAATAGGTTGGAGGAAAGTTAGGAGCGGCCAGACCAAAACATGGCAGAAATCCATGAAGTCATTGACGAGTGGACTTAGCTATGTCGGTAATTGTCGACTACCTGGTTGAGGTCCGCGAGATGATAATAATCGATGGTTAGAGACCTTGAATGACATGGCTCAAAATCGTTCGCAATGGCGTCGGTGCATTTATTCTTTGTGTTCTCTCAAATCCTAATCTTCTGGATTCTTCAACACCTCTAGTTTTGACTTTCTAAACTTTTCTCACTGAATCATACTTCTTGAATAAAACTTCTAATGCTAACCTCTCCGATTACTCCTAATACCTCTACTATCTCTTTTACTATTGGATTTGAATTGACAATTACATCTCTGTGCTGATGTGGTATGGCCACATGAACTGATGTACTTACGTACGAAGCTCTACGTTGCATCTGACTGACTGACTGATATGAAGTTTGTGCTGATGATGAAGAACAATGAAAGCTTCACAGCTAAAACGGCCAACTGAGGGAATGAAACATCACCACAAGAATACAATGTTGTTAGATTTACAATCAGAATATATATGGTACAATAAAGAAGAAAAAAGAAGTGTTTTCTTTTCATAAAATGATTTTCTATGGTAGTTTATTTTTAATTCTCCTCAATGTGATTGATGATTGTTATAATTTGAATGAAAATCGAAGGGATGAAAACTATCAGCATGTTAGGATGTTGATCAAATATCCTAGGAGAACTATTTTTGGAAGTCTTATTCTATCGGTCAATTCCAACTGGTCAATATTATGGTCGTCCTAACTGTCAATGTCACATACTTAAATGTTGTTTCCCATCGGTCGTCCTAGCTATCAATGTCACTTCAAATGTTTTTTCCTATTGACCACCTTAACTATCAATATCACAGACATCAATGTTGTTTCCTATTTGACCTAACTGCATAAATATGCATTATCTGTAACGTTTTATGATCCGGATCCTTAGTCCGAGATTGTTAGCCTCTTCTGGAATCGGACCTCGTACTTTCTGGATACTTGTAGAATACATGCTCTACTTCATATCATGTCTTCTTTTACTCAATAGGAGTTAGGGACGTTCGGATTAGAGTAGCCTGTCGTGTCGCCGGATCCTCACTCTCGCTTACTGACTAATGTAAACTCGTAATAGTTCAAGCATAGCTAATAACGTGTTTACGTGCATGCGTAACACAGGATTAATTAATTATTATCATTCATAGATCAGTCCAGCTACAACGTACAACTTCATACCTACGTTCATACCGCACATTACCATATAGAGATGAAATTGTCAGTTCAAATCCCATAGTAACAAATGTAGTAGAATTATTAATGGTAGCGTAGAAGATTAGGGTTCGAAGATATGATCCGGGCAATAAGATCCACTAAAGTAGATTTCAGAGGATAAAAAAGGTCATGAGGAATTCAGATTGAAAATTGGAAGTGGATGCACCTGTGCTATTGCAAATAATTTTGAATCATGTCATTCAATATCTCTAACCATCGGTTACTATTGTCTCGTAGACCCCAACCAGATAGTGTACGTCATCAAAACATGGCTCATATTTTCGTCTGGTCACCCCTAACTTCTTCCAGCTTACTTCTACACAGATAATATCGTTCTTCGAAATATCCGGTGGTTGTATCTCAACTATCACAACTGATGAAGATTCACTACTTCATAAATCTATTCATCATCACTTACTACCCTTTTCCTAACGCCAGCATTGTTTACTAAGTTGTCCTAGGATAAACGCGCAATGCTTCAAACACTCGCATGATCGGATGCTGGTAACTGACGAATATCCTCAGGTAGGACAGAGAGAACTGCTGAGTAGTAGACTTGTCCTTTAGTTAGTAGATCGATATCTCTCTCTTCTATGCCATAAATGACACAAGTTGGTGAAAGCCAGTTGAACCTTCTGTATTCCTTACTGAGATTTCATCAAACACCAAACCATCAGCACTGATTAGACTCCCAAGATAAGTAAAGCGGTCCATATGTATATATTCTAAGCTACTATTATTGCTTATATATGTTCCTTTGTATCTTGGAGCTTTTGATTAACGCATTAACTATTATTGTATGATTTATTCGATTTTTTAAATTTGTTACTAGTTCATCTATATATAGGTTACTGGTTTTCAATTATAGATGTCTTAGAAGCATTGTTCGTATACCGTGGGACAACCGAGTAAGCAATGCTGTCGCTAGGAAACGAGTATTAGGTAGGGATGGCAGATCAATTGATGAAGTATTGAAACTTTATCAGTTGAGGTGGTTCGGACATGTGTTGCGTATGCCTAACCACCGACTGCCTCGTCGAGCTTTGTTTTGTAGTGCAGGAATAGGTTGGAAGAAAGTTAGGGGCAGCCAGACCAAAACATGGCATAAATCCATGAGGTCACTGACAATTGGACTGAGTCATGTTGGTAGATGTAAACTACCTGGTTGGGGTCCGCGAGATGATAGTAACCGACGGTTAGAGATCTTCACCGATATGGCTCAAAATCGTTTGCAACGCTGCAGGTGCATTCATTCGTTGTGTTCTCTCACAAATTCTAACCTTCTGAATTCCTCATCATCTCGATCTTTCTCTTTCTAAAGTTATCTCACTAAATTATACTTATCGAATCATATCTTCGAAACCTAATCTTCTCCATTACTACTAATACTTCTACTAACGTTACCACTATGGGATTTATACTGACAATTGCTTCTCTGTGCTAATGCGGTATGGCAACCTGAACTTATGTACTCATGTACGAAGTTCCACGTTATAACCACTGACTAACTGACTGACTCATTTATTCACAGCTGTCTCCCATAGTCACAGATATATTTTAACTATGAGTTAGTTAGAATTACCGTATAAACGTTTGTTTGTGTCACATGATATTAAGACAACATAACAATGATGATCAAAAGAAAATCGTTTGAAACGATCAATATAATACTGATTATTTTGTTATCAATGAAAACAATACCACTCTAAAATTCATCACAACACATCTATCATGACCGAAACAGGACAAATTTTTACAAAATTGTAACAAAAGAAAACTTTCTCAAGTGATCGCCTATTATAGTATTTCAACTCGTTTTTTAAACTTTTAACAGGGTTTTTTAAAATAACCAAACAATTTTTTAAAATTTTCACAGCGTTTTTTAAAATCTTTTGTAATCCTTAGAATGTCAGAAATAAATAGAAAAAACAACTTGATTTCGAAATGAAAAAAGAAAAAGCCTTATATAAAAAAAGTTATTGAAGATGGATACAGCGTTAAGGATGCGGCATTTCTTACAGATGTAAACTATCAGGCCGCTATAAATATTATATATAAGGTTGTATAAAAAGAAATCGCGAGTTGAGAAGAAAAAAACAGGAAAACCATCAAATAAGAAGAAGATATGCGGTGATATTATCAATTTTGTTGAAGAATTGATAGAATTAAACCCGTTCATAACGATGGTAGAAATTCGAGAAAAAATATAGAAAACATATTTTCTATAGGCCTTTCTCTTAAATCTATATATAAGAAGGATAATTTATGTATAGATTTCAGATTACTTTGAAAAAGATTTCTTATACATACATCGGTCAATATAAATTCGGAATCCAGTAAAAACAAACGCCAAATTTATGCTCAAAATTTTATGAACATTGAAGATATATACATTTATAAAAGTTTTTATAGATGAATCTTCTTTTAATTTGTATATACTTAAGAAGAACCCTGGGAAGATCTATATACAAGAGGAAAACCGGCAAGTGCCCTACAGTTCCATCAACGCGTGGAACCAATATATATATATAAGTTTAATATATCGGCTATAACAGAAAATGAAGTTCTCTTTGCTAAACACATTTGTTAATTCGGTGAATTCAGATACGTTCATTCAGTTTTTTGGTTATTTTAAAAAACGCTGTGAAAATTTTTTGTTAAAAGTTTAAAAAAACCAGTTGAAATACTATATACAAATTCCAACAAATTATTGATAACTTGATGTAATAATAATTAACGAAAAATTTTTTTAAGACGGTAACCATTCTCATTATTAAGAAAAAGAAAGTAACTGAATTATTATTCCAGACAGTATTAAATGAAATGTCAAATGGTTGTTGGTAAATGGTGAAAATTGTAAAAAAAAAAAATATTTTTATTTTTTGTGTAAATGTTAATTTGAAAAATAAAATCAATAAAAAGTGAGCTTATTAAAATTTTTTCTAAAATGAATACACATATGGTATGTGTCTACTATATATATATATGTTTAGAACAAGATGACAATTGTGAAAGATGTCATTGGCTACTTCACACCATAATTATGAATCTATATAATTAGACTTATGCGAGATGATGTGTTTTTTACACATTTGAAATAATCACTCAATTAATCATTGTTAACGACCTGCACTATTAGAAACTTGAAAGCCCTGAAAGACGGGCCCGCTTTCATCTAGTATGGGCACTCATCCGTGGCAGTGCGCACTCCATAACTCCTGCACTTCGCAGGATTCGAATCCGGAATCTTCGATCTTACGCGCGAACGTCTAACCCTCTTGAGGAGAGTCGGTATCCAACGATGTTAATGTCTAACTCTAATAATTGATCTAGGGATTTTGCGCGACCTCACCCATTTGTCTTTGGTAGTTGTTACTGCCTACACCCGACAGGGTTGAACTCCACTGGTCATGTCTTCTCACTAGAACTTCGAGAATTTCCTCACGAAGCTAGTCACTAGTGTGCACGTTGTACGATTTTTTTAATTACAGTCATGAAGATCAGTGTTTTTACACATTTGAAATCATCAATCAATCATTGTTAGACAACCATCAGCTGGTTCTCTGACTGAAGTACGAGTGTACTGCGCAGTATTTCGCACCATCCTACCTTATGGCTTTGAAACATGGCCATTCAGAGTAGAAGATTTTCATAGGTTACTGGTATTCGATCAAAGATGTCTTCGAAGCATTGCTCGTATATCGTGGGACAACCGAGTGAGCAACGCTGTTATTAGGAAACGGGTGCTAGGTAAGGATGGCAGGTCAATAGATGAAGTAATGAAACTTCATCAGTTGAGGTGGTTGCGGAACATGTGTTGCGTATGCCTAACCACCGACTGTCTTGCCCAGCTATGTTTTGTGGTGTAGGAATAGGTTGGAAGAAAGATAGGGGCGGCCAAACCAAAACATGGCAGAAATCCATGAAGTCATTGACAAGTGGACTTAGCCATGTCGGTAATTGTCGACTACCTGGTTGGGGTCCGCGAGACGATAGTAATCGATGGTTAGAGACCTTGAATGACATGGCTCAAAATCGTTTGCAATGGCGCCGGTGCATTTATTCTTTGTGTTCTCTCAAAATCCTAATCCTCTGGATTCTTCAACACCTCTAGTTTTGACTTTCTAAACTTTTCCACTCCTAGAATCATACTTCTTGAATAATATCTTCTAATCCTAACCTCTCAGATTACTTTCTAATACCTTTACTACCCTCTTACTACTATTGGATTTGAATTGACAATTACATCTCTGTGGCTGATATGGTATGGCAAACATGAACCTGATGTACTTAAGTACGAAGTTCTACGTTGCATCTGACTGACCGGAGGCTGGTTGTTACTTCTAGAATCAAGGCTGAGAGCTAACACATAGTGGATTAATAGAAATCCAGTTAGTCAGTCAGCTACAATGTAGAACGTTGTACGTACGTACATTAATTCAAGTTGCTAGTCAACATTAGCGGCAATTGAGAAAACGAGGGTTCGAAGATTTGATTCAAGGAGCACAATCCAGTGAGAAACTTAATAAGAGAAAGATAAAGGTGATGAGGAATTCAGAAGATTAGGATTTGAGAGAATACAAAGAATGGATGCAACTGCGGCACTGCAAACGATTTTGAGCCATTTCTTAGAAAGTCTCTAACTATCGGCTACTATTGTCCCGCGGACCCCAACCAGATAGTCTAACACTAACAACTACTAACATGGTTCAATCCAGTGGTCAGTGACTTCATGGATGTGTGCCGCGTTTTGGTCTGGCCACTCGTGGCTTTCTTCCAGACAATCCCTACACCAGCAATCCGGTTGTTGGCTCAACGTCAAAAAGACTGATCAGGAGTCCAGTTGGCCAAGTCAGATATACTAAACCATAAAATTACAATTTCGACCGGTGATTTGTCACGTAAAGTTGAAGAACAATCAACTAGACAGTTCTCAGCATCTCACATCCTAAACTTTGCATGCTGGGAACCCTCTTTGACTGAAAGTAAGATATCATTAAACCAAATAAGTAAAATCAGTTAGAAATGTTTCAAGTAAGAACTTGAAAAGTACTCCCATTATAAAAAGATATTATACTAACATTCGTATACAATATTTAACAAACGTTATTACTTACAGTGAAACGAAGTGTCAGTTGTAAACACGCTAACATTTAACGAAACACCTGTTCAAGTGCTTCCAGATCTTCAATGATAGTCAGTCTAACTTTGATCAGTTCATGATTACAATATAAAAGACAGACAGACAGACAGATACAACACAGAACTTCGTACATAAGTACATCAGTTCAGGTTACCATACTACATCAGCACAGAGACGCAACTGTCAATTCAAATCCAACAGTGATAGCAATAATAGAAGTATTAACAGTAATGAAGAAGATTAGGCAGCGAAGATATGATTCGAGAAGTATAATTCAGTAAGATAAATTTAGAAGGAGAAAGGTAGAGATTATGAGACAATGTAACAATTAAACAAGCCATACCCAAACTTACCATTCCTGATGCAATATCACGACCAAATGTTGTTATTTTAATCCAATCAAATGGATATTTTATTCTATCTAAGCATAAAGCATGTAAACTTCCTTTTTCAATGAATTCAGTTATAAGACAAAATTGTCTATTTCGAATAACTACACCAATAATTGTTAAAATATTTGTATGTTTCAAATGTTGAAGAAGTGAAACCTAAAAAGAAAAAAAAGAAGAAATAGAAATCAATTTGAATCATGGGTAAATTATAGAATGAACAATTATATTCACTGAAATCCGATAAACATCTTGGAAACAATGTAAATGATCTAAGACTGATTTACAGCAAGCAGTTCAGGTTTCCAGTCTCATCACTCACAGCTAGGTAACCACCAACTGGATGTATTCTTACTTCTCTGAAAGAGAAGAGTAATATTGTACTTGCCGGAAAGTGTTCAGTGTTTTTAATAAGATGTACCATAAGGAGCTGTTCTTCGCCCCTTTTTTATAGCATCGTCTGCTACTTTCTAGAGAAAACACTGTTATTAAATATCGGATGATTTTATGTACACCGATTCCTACGTGTTGATATGCCTTTGAAATGAATGAATGCGAAACATGGCCGTTAAGAGTAGAGGACAATCGTAGGTGTATCATAGGTGTATCCGAAGCATTGCTCGTGTATCTCTGGACGACCGAGTGAGCAATGCTATCGTTAGGAAACGAGTTCTAGGTAAGGACGGCAAATCAATAGATGGAGTGGTGAAACTTCATCAGTTGAGGTGGTTAGGACATGTGTTACGAATGCCTAACCACCGACTGCCTAGACGAGCTTAGTTTTGCAGTGTAGGTGTAGGTTGGAAGAAAGTTAGGGGCGGCCAGACCAAAACATAGCAGAAATCCATGAAGTTACTGACAAGTGGACTGAGTCATGTTGGTAGATGTAAGCTACCTGGTTGTGATCTGCGAGACGAAAGTCATTGATAATTAGAGACCTTGAACAACATGGGTCAGAATGGCTTGCAATGGCGCAGATGCATCCACTCTTTGTGTACTTTTTAATTCTAATCTTCTGAATTCCTCATCATCTCTATCTTTCTCCTTCTAAATTTATCTCACTGAATTATACTTTTCAAATCATACCTTTGCTCCCTAATCTTCTCCATTGCTGCTAATAATTCTACTATCACTATCACTCTTGGATTTGAACTGACAATTGCTTCTCTGTGCTGACATGGTATGGCAACCTGAACTGATGTACTTATGTACGAAGTTCTGAGTTGTATCTGTCTGTCTGTCTGAAATGAATGAGAACATGTCGCTCACTGAACGATGATCTGTCGTTAATGGTTGCACACGTAATCGTTCCAAATCTCAAAACAACAATTTTAGCCTAAGACATGAACAGATCTTAAACATTCTGTTGGAATCCCATGAAGTCTGTACCATTGAAAGAAAATATTATTATTATTATTTATTATTATTATTATTATTAGAGTGTAAGGGGACAGAGTTGGTTGGAGAAAACTGGTCGGTGGCCTGTGCTTCATTGGGGGTCACAGGCGCAAATAAGTAAGGGGAAGGCTTTAACCAAGGTGAAGGTCAAGAGTAGAAATTACAGTAGAATCAACGATTGACAAAAACCACACATAAAAAACATACATTTCGAAAATAGAGAATAAAAATAAAGAACGAGAATTATAAAACAACATTAAGTCTACAGAACTGAACAAAACTGTTTCCATAGGATACTGCTAATTTCCTATGAAATGATAAATGCTGTATATAATGTTTATGTGCCTTATTCATATTCAAAGTACAAAAAGAAATGGATGAGAGAGAGCAGTGCAATCCAAGATGCACATCTCGTCCTATTTGGGACTCCTCAGCTGAATGTACATGCTTCGCAGAGTTAATGTTCACTCTGGGACTCGAACACAGTGGTGTTTACTTCAAACGACATAGCGTCATCCACTTAACTACTGAGTTAAGACAGCCATTTGCTTTGTGATAGTATGAAAATAAACTCATTTGTATTGGTTGCTTGAATTTCTTCAGTGATTTTCACGACTGCAATTAATCAGTCTTTTTGGTATATGTGCATCCTGTGCAGATGACCTCGATACTGCCATTAGGTTATAAACATTAACTCTCGAATGCAGGTACATCTAGGATGAAACGCATGTCCTGGATTCTACTGCTGGCAATCATCTATCTCTATTTATAACGATTGTAACTCTAATGCCAATGCATATAAGCTAAAGAGACTGATCAATTTTAGTCGTGAACATGTCGGTACATTAAATGCTCCAACATGTAGTCTAGAGCGGGGTTTAAGGAGACCAGGAACGACGTATGCCCGACCACCGACTGCCTCGTCGAGCTTTGTAGGTTGGAAGAAAGTTAAGGGCGGCCAAACCAAAACATGGCAGAAATCCATGAAGTCATTGACGAGTGGACTTAGCCATGTCGGTAGTTGTCGACTACCTGGTTGGGGTCCGCGAGATGGTAATAATCGATGGTTAGAGTCCTTGAATGACATGGCTCAAAATCGTTCGCAATGGCGCCGGTGCATTTATTCTTTGTGTTCTCTCAAATCCTAATCTTCTGGATTCTTCAACCCCTCTAGTTTCGACTCTCTAAACTTATCTCACTGAATCATACTTCTTGAATAATAATATTTTCTAATCCTAACCTCTCCGATTACTTCTAATACCTTTACTACCTCTACTACTATTGAATTTGAATTGACAATTACATCTCTGTGTGCTAATGTAGTATGGCAACATGAACTGATGTACTTACGTACGAAGTTCTACGTTGCAACTGACTGACTGAGTTGTGAACATGAATAAGAAAATTCGAACAACCAATACAAATGAATGACCATGTAATAACGTTCATATTTGTTTACACTATTTTCTTGTCTTCAAGTACTATTCTATTCGTAACTACTAGAGTACGTTTCATAATAACCTGAGAATTCCTATTTCCCTAAATATTTACATTAATATGACTCATATTAGATATTGATGAAGACATGAAATGGAATAGTTTAGAGGAAAAATTTTCGTTCGAATAGTTCTAATCCAGTTAGTGATAGAACTTTATGAATTGTTAGGGATAATAATCAATGACTAATGATACTATTCAATTATCTAGACCAAAGTAGATTTAGTTTTCATCAAGTTTAAATTTCCACACATTATCAGTTGTACTCATTATTAGTAGTGTTTTTATTAGAACGGTGGTTTCGGAAAGATTTTCCTCCCACAGTATACTACAATAATACAGCAACAAGATCAAACGAAACTGCTTTGGATGTCCGGGTTTTTACTGTCATTGGATTGGATACTCGAACATCACACCACAGCGAGACTAGATCACATTGAACCAGACACATGATTGATGACCAAAAATACAGAACCAGAGTAAACCACAGACAATACTCAATTCCATACAATTACAGGCAATCATTCTCAATGACTCAGGAATAGAAAATCAATACGAGGAAAAGAAATCACGATATTGAATAGTCAGTAGTCGGCTGAGAGCTAGTTTATAGATGCTCAATGACCAATCATATTTTACCTCACTACTACAAATCAATCAAAATAGTTTCGAAACATAAATGAGTACAATGGAACCAGTAAAAACTCATATATACTACATATGTGTGTGAATATTTGGCTGGTAATGATTGCATTCACATCGCAATGCATAATATTTATATTGACCTTATAAAAGTGTAAAGATCACTAACTCAAATCAAGTGAATAAGTTTCATTTGGTTGATAGTTTTTATGATCGGTTTAACAATAATTAGCATATATATATATATAAATCTAAAGAAATATAAATGTTGTATATTTTATTCCACTATCAGGACAAATATATATACCCTACTCTAGCTAAGCATCAAGTGTACAGGTAGATAATGTGGTTGGGCGAACATACTGTGTCCAAACCAACCTAGTCGATAAAGACGCATAATCTAACGAACAGATTAACCATTTTTTGCTAAGTGCCATAAATTTAACCATAACACTTCTCACTCCATGATCTCAATATGTGCTAATTATACACTGAATATATTAATGATACGTTACTAGTAACTAGCTCATGCCTTCTACTTTTAGAGTTCACGTTTCACAAGCATTTAGTAAAACACAGTTACTGAAAAGATGAAGGTGATGAGGTATTCAGAAGTTTACAATCTGAGAGAAGACAAAGAATGGATGCACCTGCGCCATCGTAAACGATTTCGAGCCATGTTATTCAGTCTCTAACCATAGGTTACTACTGTCTCGCAGACCCCAACCTGGTAATCTCTACACCTACCAACATGGCTCAGCTCACTTGCAAGTGACTTCATGGATTTGTGCCATATTTCGGTCTGGCCACCACTAGTTTTCTTCCAGCCTACATCTAAAGCACAAAACATCGCTCTTTGAAGCAGTCGGTGGTTGAGCATTCGTAACCCTTGTCCTAACCACCTGAACTGCTTTGTAGATTGATCGCCTATCCCTATCTAGTACCCTTTTCTTAACAATTCAGTAGTTTCAGGATATACGAGCAATGCTTTGAAGACACCTATGATCGGATAATAGTAATCGACGAAGATTCTCTCTCCTTAGTTGCCATGTTCCAGTCAGTATAGCTTGCTTACGTCATTATGACAGGCAAGCACGACCACCACGCCAAGTTAGCAGCTACAATCGGAGATTCATGTATCGTCCTGAGGAGAAACTTTGGATTTGGTGAATGAGAAACTCACTCCAAACATAATTTGCACTGTTTTTCAGGGCACTTAAAAGACTATTTTGTCCAAGCTTTCACCAAATATGATCGATCATATTATAAGCGAACTCAGTAAGTCATCTGACAAGAGGTCAGTACAAAAAAAGTTAAGTGAAGAAAGTGTTCGAGTAGAAAGTCGTCATCACAGAGTTCATGCATATTTCAAGCACAATTCCCAATGACAAACATGTACTCTTGGCCCTACTAAAGCATTTTTGAGTCACGGTTGAAGTTGGAATGTATTACACATCAGGGAATCTCCTCTTTTTTTTCTTTCTCCCAACCATGCCTCGCACCGCTGTCTTTGTCTCCATTCTGTACACATTCAACTCTCACACCCCCCCGTTCTAACTCATCAAAATGTCTTGTCCCTTCATTTTGGTATCAGCCTCTTTGTTTTTTTTTTGTTTTTGTGC